AGATGAACAGTCTGGTGGATGAAGTCAGGTGAGAATTTGAACACCTCTCAAGTCTAGACTTCAATTGTTCTGTGCATGTGTGAAAACTCTTGGAATTGGAATGGAATTGAAAAGAATGGGACTGTTCTCTACCTGCAGTGTTACTTGCTTGTCTCTTGTGAATAATCAATATGTAGAAACACAGGATTGTTCCCCAAGTAGTGCATTTATTGTAATTCGTACTCCAGACAAGATAATAAGCTATAACACATTACGTATTACTACACAACAGAACCTGATCATGAAACAACCTTGCCCTTGTAGGGTATCTACATGACATATGATGTTGTTACTTATTTCTACTCCGTTGACATTGCAATTTAATGCTTGGCAGGGAGCTTTAGTTGTGTGGGTTGTAATGTGTCTTTTTTTCCTTCAGACAAATAGAAGGCAAGGTGGTGGAAATCTCCAGACTGCAGGAGATATTTGCAGATAAAGTTCTGCAGCAGGTATGCCTATAGTGGTTAATTCTGATTTTATATTATAATACAACACAAAAAGGATTTAGCCAATCTAGATGTAATATCTTTACTTAGTTGTAATTTATCGTAGGACTTACCATAATGCAGCTGTTTTTGCTTGGTCATTCCTGTGCAGGAAGTTGAGATAGACAGGATTGCTGACACTGTGGTACAGTCAACTGAAAACATCAAGGAAGGGAATGAGGAAGTCAGAGAGGTGAGTTGTCACAATGAATAAGGCATATATTACACAGGTAGATATGTAAGAACTACCATGTAAGGCTGTTACAGAGTAGAAAGCTTGCCAAATTATCTGTCAACTGGATTCAACAGGATAACCTACTTGTGCTGTTACTCTTCAACTTCAACCATTGGTATATTATTATAGAATTTAAGTGTTGGGGATACAAGGTCCCAGCCAAAAATAATTTTGTGAAATTTGATAGGAAAGTATTGTTGAAATATCTCCAAACAAAAATCAGTGTCCCTGTACATGTACCTGCAGTCTCATTATTACAATCATTATGGTAGTACCACAGCATTTGGTCAGGACTTGGTATATGGACAATTCAACAGGTACATTGTACATTTGTACTTACCTGTGTGAGTGAGACAGAAGAATTAGCAACAGAAAATGACTCACTGTTCCTCCTTTCCCTTCCCTAAACCCAATACATTGTTGTAAGAAACCACTCCATGGTCTCAATATGGAATGTCAATAGTCATAGGACTTTTTTGAATCTGAATTCTTAAATAAACATACATTCTAGCTGCATAATATTGACTTGAGGTGAAACAGAAATGAATTGTTCTGGCATGTTGTCATTTCATTAGGGACACACAGACTGCCCCCCTCCCCTCTAGATCTCCTCCATCCCAGCTGGATATTCTAACCTGTACTTATACCTCATCACTGGCAATTACTGCACATGAATACCTGGGTCAGGGAGGAGGCCTGTCCCCAAGGAAAAATGCATAGATTTTGCCATTTCAGTGAGCAATTACGTATGTAATTCCCCGTAAGTCTGGACTGGGCAATAATCAATAGGCCATCCGTGGGGCTTTCCTTTAATCTGAAAGGATGCACATTGATTTTTCTTTTTTTATGGGATGGGGGCATTTTTAATAACTCACTCTGGTGAGGCTGAGGTTTCATGCATCAAATTCTTTCACACGTGATAGGCCTTTCATTGCCAATCTTTCCAGACCAGCTTGTCCATTGATTTTGGAGAAAATTAAAGCTGTATTTTCATGCTTGTAAGTGCATTCTTTTGCATGTGTGAATATGAGGGAGTATGAGCTATTATAGTAACACAAAAGTTGTAAACTACATGTAAGATTACATCATTGACTTCTCAGATCACAAATTGATATAAGTAAATTTAAACTAACCTTTTCAGTTCTAGCAAAATTCCAAGTGTACTTCACCTGACTACCCGTCACCTGTCCTTTAGTACTCCGTGGGACATCATCCATTTGTACAAACAACATTGCACCTTACAGCTTGTTTGTAATTAAATGATATTTTGGTTAATTTTCAGGATAAATAAATAATGACATTATTTTATGTTTGTTTAAAGCAGAAAGAAAGGTTGAATCTTATTCTTTCTTACAGAATAAATAGTGTACTATGTATATTACAGTAGCTTTATATTTTTCACTTCATAAGCCTTAACATTTGGTTCTTAGCAGCATGTTTATCTTCATTTTGTGACTAATAGTCCTTGACTAAGACAGATAGGTTTGTAGTGGTCCAATACTGCCAGTCTGCTGCATCAGTGATGGACAGATTCTGCTGGGAATAACAGTTCCATCTGTCCATCAGTAGATCCAGGGCTGAATAGGGCTCCCTAATTAATACTAACCCGATTTCCTACCTCACAAAACTGAATATCTATGGAGAACATGACAATCTAACTGATATGGGAAATGAAGGTCCAATCTATCTATAGGATGGAAAACCAATATACATGTAAATTTGGGCATTAATTCGTCAATTAATCTTACTGTGTATCTCTTCTCTCCATCCAAAGCTGTAATCAGAACTGCTGACTGTAATGCAGAGCAAAGGCCACCTGAACTTAGTTCACTGGTTTTTCCTGTAATCTAGACATCAGTAATCACAGTTCCATTGGGTTAGCATGGTAGGAGACAACACAACTATTATTAAGATTTTCTTTTGAAATTTCCCTGCAAAATTGTTATGAATAGACCCTATAACCTGGTTACTTGATAAATGTAGTTTGCTCTGTTTTTAAAAGGGCATCATAAGATCATTCGGCAGTAGATCAAGACAAAGTATTCTCTTCTTCCTATATGTAATTTGGATATGAATCTCAAGTCAGTTGACTGTAACATAATTTATGCAACATGTATTACTAATGATGCTATTTTTATCAGGCAAGAGGCCAGGGAACTGAGTATGGTATTGGCACAGCCCAGGCCAGGAAGAGGATTTATTTACAAGCTTGAATATTTGTGCAAATGGAGTCCACTGGGGACAATTACAACTGATAAATCTTAGTGAACAAGCTGACATCTGTGCTAATTAAAGCTAATTGTTGATTGGACTAATCAGAGGCACAGAGCAGATGTTTCCAGGGGCCTTTTCTCTCTCAGGAAACACAATTGAGACATGATTGTACGTGCGGTGAATGCTGATGTCAGCACTAACCTTGATTAATATCATTGTTCACTCTGCAATTCATTTTCTATTTCATGCATCACTTACTAATCTGCAGCTTTAAAATATGTCATTGTTTTACAGAAGTTGATTAGGAATTCAAGAACCAGATGATCTGACAGGATTACCATTATGTTTAACACACACACAGGTTTGCCAGTGTTTTGCAAGTTGCATTCTTCAAGTATCAAGAGTGCATTCTTCAAGTATGATTTCTAGCCATAATGTCCCATAGGCCCACTCAGACTTTTAACCTTCTTTACATTACACATTTGAAGAAAAGTGTGCAAGATGGGTTTGCCCTCAGGCTAGGTTTGCTCATGAGGGACAATGTAATATCTAATGTGATTGTGGAAATAGCCCTGTTATTTCTTTTCAATAATGCAAATAGCCCTCCAGTGTGTCTGTCCACTGTATGACTTGTGATTATAAAGAATGCTGCTGTGTTTTCCTGAAGAGAACTTCAAAGTGTTGAGGGATTTTTGCATGCAGTACTCTTTCCAATTATTTAGTCTAAGAGTATTACCATGTGAAATATGCAATCAATAAACAATATGTTGATATGTACAAACACTTTCTTTAATCTGTGTCATCATCATAAAATCATTGCCACATGCCCGGACAATATAGGTGTGCAGTTTCTCACAATGCTCAGTATTGTCATCAAAAAGTAATGACTTCTGCACCTGAACACTCACCATATTGCTCATCTTCACCCATCCGATACAATGTTTATTTCACTGATGTTTTAAGAAAACTGCCATTTTTTAAAAAGAAAATCGGTCATATCCGGATATTGACCTCTCCTGGACACAAGTCATTACTTGGTCTGCCATCTGGCTGGTGGTGAAGTCACCGGTTCACTCAGCCGTGTCTGCAGCCATTAACCTCTGGGTCAAAGGTCAGGACTGATCTATACAGCCTGCTGGAGTCACAGGGTGTGAAATGGAAGTCTCAGCTCTATCAAACGTACCTGCCCCCGGCTAGGGCTCGTCTTGTAGAATTGAAACTTAATCCTCTGAATTACAGGTGGACTTTCCCTCGACAAATCATGGACAGGGCTGACAGCTAGTGTATGGTTTTTGGGAGGAGGGGTGATTCTTGGCTCAAAGACAAAAAATTCTTTTACATAATTTTGCTCGAGTTGTAATATAGAGTTCAGTATGGCCTGCAGTTAATCAATACTTAAATCAATGAGTAGAAATCTGTCAACTCAACTTGCACAACTCGTTTGTCACCCATGATATCTTTATAGTTTTATGTTTCTGCATTTAATTTCTTGTACAAATGTACTATGATACTGACATTAATGATCCAATCTCTTAACCACCTTCTTGGTGAATATCAGATTTTCTGTTTAAGCCTTCTGCACTATGATTTTATTCTCTGATAAGGTCTGACTACTCAGGCTTTCTGCTCTTCTCCCATATGATAAGAGCCTAAGAGATATTTAATATATCCCTTAAGGCCAAGATCACAACTGAAATGGAAAGGTTTTGCACTGCAGTGACAGTGGACCATTTGCTATGTGTGCAATAGTCGTGGCAGCACAAGAGAGTAAGTGTTGTACTCTGGGCAAAATGTCAATGTATATCTTAATATTAACCTCTATGATGCTACTTGCAAATTTTTTAGGATGAATGGAGAAAAGTCATGATCCCTTTCAGTTCTAATGCTGTACAAAAGGCCAGCAACACCAACTTGGTATTATGGATGATGTCTCCTATGGCATTGAGTTTGTTACCTGGAACAGAAAAAATCTCACTGCTTTTACCAGTGCTCAAATTGTCACTGTGAACCCATCATCAGACTACCAAAAGATTGGATATGTCTAGAGGTGTGTTTCTTCAGTTACATAATATATCCTATTACAAAAGGTGTCAATTTTTCCTTGCTTTCCTTGGGTGTCAGCTGCAGCACTTCCACAGGATGCCAGATGCTGAATGCAAAAGAAGTTTATGTGTCCCTTAGTTCAGATGAAGTTCTTAGTCACCCACTCTTTCACATCATTACAGTAAATCTGTCCACTTCCTAACTTGACAGATAATCCAGAGTCAAGATGACTAATAAGTTGTTAATCTTTGTTATAATTAGAAACCAGTTTATATTACATACAATGGATACAACAGGTGTCTTCTGTAATGGTGCATGAATGCTTTACTCACTCTTTCAGGAACACTACACTGCCATGTTGTTGACTTTCATCTGGTCCTCTAAATTTGAAAGATACCTGCTTAGCTCAGCAGCCCTGAAAACAACAGTCCAGCCTAAGGAAGCTTTCTTTCAATTAACCTGGGGATGAAGGGGTCACAGCCTGTCCCCTATTCTCATAAAGAAAAGCCAGAAGCAATGTTTCACATTATACACAGACCTCTTTTGAGAAAATAAGCTTAGTCTAGGGTTCATGCTCATGCAAACATATTACTTGTTCACATGTTCCTATGTATTTTTTTTCAAAAAGCATGGTTGACACTGAGAACATTACCCAATGACTACATTTTCTGTGGTCTGGAAGATAATTTTCTGGAATACACAAGATGTATGAAACCTTTCCTACTCAACTTTGTAGTAGAGGAAGTTAGCAATACACATACAGATGAGCAAGGCTTATTTCTGTCCTTGTCCAAGAAATCCTTCCCAGACAGAAGCTGATCCCAGCTGATGATTGCATTCCCAGCGAGCTCTGATATTTAACATCGTCCAGATAAAACAGTCATCCATCCATCAGACCCTTTGTGGTCAGTGATAGAACTGGTTCAGCCTATCACAGTAGGCTGATGAAAGATTCTGTTTGTAGCTAGAATCCTTTTCAACATTTTCTAGGCCAACACTGTACTAGAAGCCGGTGTGTTAGGCCAAAGTGCAGTTTTACTGGCTATACCATTACAGGTACACAACACTACATAAAACCATGTCACCCAACAAAATTTGGTCACATTTTCTTTAAGATAGAGAAGATAGAGTTAGAATATGTATTTGCATGTAGAGAGCTTTCATAGGAGTGGAATATAAGCTACATTTACTATGATACAATCTCTTGCTATAATTCTGTACAGCTTGACCTCCATGACTTTGTCATCACACTGAGGAGAAAACCAGGAGAGTATTGGGGGAAAATGCAATGTTTTCTTGCTGTTTAGCCTTCTAACATGACAAACTCCTCTGTTTCTGCAGGCCATGAAGAAGGATGCGGGGTTCCGTGTGTGGATCCTGTTCTTCCTGGTCATGTGCTCCTTCTCACTGCTGTTCCTGGAGTGGTATAGCTAGGAGGGGACAGCATCCACCTTTCTACACAAAAGGAAGTAGAAGATCAATGTTATGGTAGCAGTCTAGTACCGGCAGTAAGCTAATTACAAAGTTTTATTTGCAATTGGTCCCAACCAACTCCAGATTACCCAAGCTACAACACATACATGTATAGTCAGCTTGTCTTTCTACACTCTGTGAATTACTCAAATCATTTCACAGACAGTATGAACTTGAGAATATGTTATGCTTGTATCTGTATTCAGGTTGTCACCAGTGTTGTCATTGCTCCCTGTTTAATAATAATGAAGCTGACTTCCTTGTGATGAGAGAAATAGAGAAGTATATAAGAGTACATGTATGATCAAATCTACAGGGAAAACATTTTGCTTCTCAAGCTAGTGAAGTTACACATCAATTTTCCCTAGATTGTATGGAAGAAATAAATGTCTAATATTTATAGAAGGATTCTAGAAGTCTAATTAGTGTGTATAAGTTTATTTTGTCATGCAATGTGTCATTTGTGAACAGATAAACACAAGTAAATGAACTGTTTATGTCAGAAATATTTGCATCAATCTATTTAAAGATACAGTTGTATGTTACTAGCTATAAATGAAATTTTGTGTAGCTAGCAGAAAATTGATCAGTTCTGTCTGAGTACTTGAGTTGGCTACAAAACCAATATTGCTGTTTCTTCATGAACTTTATGATCATCATAGAAATATTGATTAACAATTTAGAGTATTAGTATTACAGTAAACTCTGTTTGCTGTAAGTTGATTTTAATGTAAATTGTATCACAGTGATATTACAAACTGTGTTGATAGCTTTTGATACAAATGGTAGTGCATCTGTAATCTATATCTTATTAAGTCCCAGTTGTGAATGACTCATCTTTGTTGTCATGTTTCATTTCCCAGTCAAAAGAGACATACAAATTTGTTTTCAGTCTTTTTGTGCTCCTTCTGTAGCTTTTCACTTCAGTATTGCTGCTGTTAACTTTGTTGTCAGACAGCTTGCCTGTAATATGTGTCGTGTGCCTGTATCATGTACGTGGGCTGTGTCTAATGAACTGTGTAATCTTGTACGTATTTCCCCGTCACTCACCAGCATCAAGGATTAAGCAGTCGGCGGGATAGAAGCTCAGGCTGGCTTATAGTTATTCTGTGTGGAATCACCCTGGACTCATTAAACAAGTTCCGGAGTAAGAATGGGCTGCAATTGATGCAGTGTGACATCCCTCCGTGAGAAGGGATGGATTAGACATGGCAGAAATTGCACAGGAGGCCTAATTAACAACCTTTCTTGTGACTTGTAGTGACGAGGAAGAACACTCAGGGAATGTCAATGTCTTCAGATGTATTTGGGCCATTACTTGCTCCGGGCAATGCCACACACAAGTCTTTGGCCATCAATTGAAGTTTTATGTGTTGAAGAGTTCATGCATTTGTTGAACATTCCTATACTGTATAGTCAGCCTTTACTGGCATCCTGCTGAGAAATGCGTTCTGCCAATGTCTGTTGTGACCATTCACAGTCATTATGTGTTCCCAAATGCCAGTGTAATATTAGCATCCATCAGAGTGAGTAATGGATAAGTACTGTCCCTGGTGCTGAAAATTGGGTTGCTTTGTTACCCCTTGGTTTGGGAAAGATGTCGTTGTGTAAGCAGCTCACGTCTGGTACCGATACAGATCCGCATGTTTCTCCACTATATTAGGCTTGGGGGCAATATGGAACCATTAAGGCTGTTGATAAATGCATCTGTCAACACTGGATTATTTCAATTGCAAAATTCTGGTCACCTAGCTTGTGGCAAGATAAAGACCATGCACGCATTGCCATGTATGGCCTATGTCAATTCAGAGCACGTACAATTCATAAAGGGTACATGTCTATATAGTCTCTTACATTAGGGCTAGCTGAAAATATCCTGTAAAACAAGACCTTGTCTCCCGTTTTTGTTCCATTTCTTCTAGATGATATAATTATTACAGACTTAAGTAACAAAACAATATATGCTAATAATTGTAGAACTGATTTGCGAGCAACCATGTAAGACCGTTCATGATAGATGTAGTTAGTAGATACCCTAACAATCCCGCCTTTGGACGAGAAGTGAGCGATGTCCTTGTCAAAAAGGGATTACAGCATAGGGGCTGACGGATGGTTGGATCAGGGTCAGGTATATGTCTTCCCTGCAATTAGCGGAGAACTGTGCTGCATGGAAGACAGCTGAAGTTGGTCTGTTCAGCTATCCAATAGATATATACTATCTAGTGGGTGTCTTGGTCAGCAATTACAATAGATTTCCTCTTCATGTTGTAAAGAATGCATATAAAAAGATTTCAATGTTAAACAATTTCTAATACAACACCTTTCGAAATATTTGAATAAGCCAATGTTATGACCAGAGATTCAATGTTGTGTGGTGTACATTTGTATTTTTAGAAATAGAGATTGCCTGCTATCCATGGGACACAACTGTAGTGTTGTACAGTACTAGTAGTTTGTCAACGGTTTTCAAGCCTGTTAACAATGACCTGCTCTTTTCTTAGACCAAGTCGTCCTGGCACATTGATTCGCATTGTGATCACGTACTTTACAAACTTTGCCACTGGCTCAGTACATGCAGTTTTATTGGGCCTTATTACCCAGATGCTTTTGATGAACAAGGCTCATGTCAGTTCTAATACATGGTGTTCTTGATACCCACTATTCAGAGGCTCATCTTCAATCTGAGTAACCTCTTTTGTTTTCCATGATTGATGACCCTGCCTTGTTACAGTGTTCATTTATCTTGCCTGCACCAATGAGCATTGACGTTAAGTGGGATCACCTTGGTAACCAGCCATTGCCATTAATCTAAATGTCACAAGGTTGTCACATGAGAATGATGTAAGGCCAGGCGATTCCTGCGGTTGACGTGATTATGGTCAACTTTGCTGACGGATCGCCCACAAATTGGCTGGTAGACCAGTTATATAGGACCCGCTGTGTGGCTCGGGATCATTCTATTTAACTGTGCTGTGCGTCTGTCAAATGAGTACCAGCATTACAAACTGGGGAGTGCTTGAAAACATTGAGTGCTGCCATCAATGTATATACTTAGGCTTGTTGGTGGCATTTGGAAGTTTGGCAATTTGTCTTCACCAAATGCAAATCAAAGCTGTGTTAATGATGTTTTTGTTGTTGTTGCAAAGGCCTTGAGGTAAAACTATGAATCATTACAATGGTTGGTGGAAACGTTTCCATTTTATAGTTCATAACACATGGTTATTCTGTTCTATGTTTCATAATAAAGATGAAAAAAATCAAATGTAACATTTCCCTACCTGCTGAAAACAGGCCTTCCCTAAAATTCCATCTATGTAAGTTCTGGACTTGTACCTACCAATCAAAATTTCTTTCTAGCATTGTAAATGTTTTAGTGCCGGAATACTTCTACCCAGCACTTTTACATGTTCCAGCGCCTACTTGTATACAATCATGAAAACGTATGGTAAATTGCTACCTTTAAGAAGCCCATCCATACCCTGTCACCTTTAACTGACCTTATCCCTGCTCTCTTAGCCCCTCTGATTACCTACAAAAGATTAAAGCATACGTTGCTAATGGAACCCCAAGTTCAGCGTTAGTTCCATTAAGGCAATATTGCTGGGAGTATCTACCCGCCACTGGGGGTTTTGATAATAAATAGTTTTACCCTTTGGCTGTGAATAGCGGGTTTTGATAAAGCGGAAATTTGCTGTTTAACACGAGATGCGGTTAGCTCTACAAGAGACGCCTGGCAGTGAACCAAGATACCTGTGTTTGAAACATGTTTCAGTCGATTGCTGCATTGCTATGAAGGAACAATACAGAGGCGACATCCACCAATTCTTGGTTTGGTTTTATTTGCACGAAAATGAAACGCCTGCCACAACGACATGCTATACCATTATTGTACACTTTTTCCTCCATCTATGGAGATATAACATATATGTATATATTTATATATACCATTTGTCTAGAACTACCATTTTTCTCCACACAGATCTCACGGTGCTTTACCTGTCTGTCAGATATGTATCATTTTGGTTGCGTGATTCTTCAAAAGATGACTGTTATCGTGTGGTTGGTTTCTTTATGATTATGATATCTAACATCATGATGGTGGTGGTAGAACATGACAATGATTGCATAACGTACAACTTTTCACATACTTCTATTATAAAATGTTTTCACTAACTTCACTGATATTTAATGTAGTATTAACTCTACTTTTGGTTATTGTGTCGAGGATATCCTAAGTAACCATTTCACAAAATTGGGTATTCCACGTTGATACCATGCGGCTTTCTGAAAAGATGTACAAAGTGTGTGAGGCAGTACAGAATTGGTGTACTTCTCACGACTATGTTACATTCATTGTATTACCAATCGGAATTTCGTTTTAGAATTTTGTAAGCACCATAGGAAAATTCAAAGTGTACAGTCGGAGGTGTTGAAATGTTTCATTTCAGCAAAATCTTCCTGTGTCATTATAATCTCTAGTAGAATAATTTCATCACTTCATACACGTCTTTGAAGTGTGGTAGGTATACGTCCAACATTTGTCAAGGTAACATCACAGTTGTCTCCTACGCTAGGTTGTGTAAAAACACGGAACTGAGGGTAGAAAGCTGTCGTCCTAAAAGTGACAGTCTTTTGATTAATTTGAATATTTTCGTCTGATATGGATTGGTACTGGATAATGTGCGATAAGTCTATAGGGCATTTCTGGTTTTTGTACAGCGATGCATCGATTACTAGTATTGGACCTGATGTAAAGACTGATTTGTCACACAAAAGGTTACGGAAAGCACTTCACCAATATTGGTCTGTGATCTTTAGAACAGAAAACGACGCTTCACATTTGCTCTTTGGACAAAGTTATTCCCACATTCGACATCAGAAATAGTTGCTCTGTGCTTGAGTGTTATGATAGTTTCAATAATGCAGAGATATATGCCATCCCACAAGCTGGCTGTCGACGGTCAGGTTGTCCGCTGCATGTGTTGATCCTATGTGTTGTTACAGTTGCCCTGATATCGATCGCTTGATCCCGACGACAAGTAGCTAACGTCACGTTCTCAACAAAAACATCCACATTGTATAAAACGCCGAATATTCAAGTCTATTCCATCCGTAAGCATAAACACCAAACAAACCAGCTATGCCATCTTGAGCTGTGTCCATGAAAATTTTCTTTAGTAAAGCGTATTTAGAATCCACTTTTGCATCAACCCAAACTATGCTCTTCTTATCTTTCCAATGGCGTAGACAAATTCCCGGACGAAACGGGGTACATTTCACTACCACACGTAATTAAACATTAATGTGGTGGACGTCTTACGTTCAAACACTGTACACAGTCAAAGACATTTACTTCTTCTGATCAGCGGTGCTCTTTGTGACGGAGGCAAGCGTGGACTGCTTAGTTTCTTGAGAAACAACTTTTGGCGTCATACTTTCTGTTGCGGTGAAGAATTCGATCGGCGTGGATGACGTCACGGTTGCTGTCTCCAAGGCTGTTGCGCCATCCTGTACTGCCGTGATGGACGAGACGTTTTCGCTGGTTCCCGCCGTGTCGCCAGAGGTGACGGCGTGCCACGGCGTCCGGTAAGCTGTCGGCGTGGCTACGAACTCGATAGAGGGCCGGGTGGACAGATGTGGCGGTTGAGGTGCCAAGGTAGTACTGACTGACGTAGGCTTCGCCACTTCAGGCTGAATCACAGGCGCATGCTTACTGGCCTCCGTTTTATTTGACCAGGCAGTTGGCGCTTGGTGGGTCAACGTCGCCGTCTTCATGTCGGGAGCGCGCGTGACATCGGCAGCCTCCTGCACGATTCTAACCATGGGAACCGTTTGGTACGTCTTCTGGTCAGGGACTGTATGCTTCGTTGGTTGGGCAGTCGTCGGCTTCTTGTCAGCCGCCGTAGTTGGTACTGCTGACTCGGTCGATATCTTTGATGTCGGTGACGGCAGGACGTTCACAGCTGTAGGGGTCACCGTTTGTTTCTGTGTTGCTGCTGGGGTCACATTGACTGGGTTTCTTTGCGGGATTGGCTGGTCTCCCTGCATCTGATTTACTTTAGTAGCAGTGGTGTCAGTGGTACCTGTTGGAAGATGAGCAGTAGGAGCCGTGGTTCCTCGGATACTGGGACGAATGGTGTGCTTCGTGATGACAGGAGACTTGAACGTGATGGTACTAGTTTCTGCAGTGGTCTTCAGCTTCATCTGGGAAACAGTAGTGGCGGCAACTCCATGTGTCTTCGCGTCATCACGGGGGCCTGGTGTTTTTCTTGCTGAGGTGCTGCTTGCGGCGACTTGTGAAGTTACAGTAGACATGGCCGGGGGAAGAGCTGTAGTTGGTGTGATCAGAGAGGTTTGACTAGGTGTGGTGACTTTATCGTGCACCAGCTTTGGAGTTGTTGCTCTGGACTCTGATTCTTTATTAGTTGTTGTCCCTTGGCTAACCATGATGGTGGTTGTTGATGGTTTACGGGTGGTGACAATTACAGGTTTCTTGGTTTTGGGCGGTTGGGAAGTGGACACAGGTTGAGGGATATTTTCAGCCTTCGTTGTTGGAGTAGGTGATTTTGGGGTTGTTGTTGTTACCACAGGCGCCTTGGTAGTTGGTGGCGATGTTGGAGTAGTGGTCGTTTGAACCATTTTAGTAGTGGAAACAGGTGTGGTTTTGTGGAGAGCTACGGGTACCTGTGCGGTGCTTGGCGCTGATGTAGGCGGTCGCGTGGTGTGGCTTCTCCGTAGTGACTTTGACTGTGGTGGTGTGCTGTTGTTTGGTACTAGTGGCAGGCTGGGTGGGGGTAGGTACCACGGTCTGCTCGGTGGTCAGCCCAAGAGCTTTCCAGACACCACTGAAAGGCCGTCGCGTTCGTGGTACCTCGGTTGGCTTCTGAATGACCTGTAAAACAGCGGAACTGCCTGGTGAGACCGGTTGCTAAATTCGCACTCAAGTTAGAGAAAACAGTGAAAACCAACGGAATAGAAATGACTGGCCGATGACTCTCTAAACATGGATAACTTCTCATACATGTCATTAACTTGTTTATTAATATTGTTTATTAGCACATAAAAGAAGGCAATTGACGTATATAACCAATGTTTAGCCAGTGTTTACCTTTGGTGGATTATCATGGGTGGAGGTGGTGGGAGCGTGCTTAGTTGGCCTCGGCTTGAGCCACTCAGGTGGGAAGAAGCCCGTTTCCACATGGTAGAACGGCTTGGGATACCAATGCTCTGTCTTCAACACCTGTGCAAATGGACCGAGGAGAAAAGGTGAGGGAATAAAAGAAGGGATGTAGAGATAAATAGGAAAATGAGCACAGAAATACAGCATGTTGGGCCACCTACTGGCATTTTGTGATGATCTGGAGAAGGTGGGCGGAGAGTAGCCACCGCTTCCAGACGGTTTCGTACCTCATCGGGATGCCTTCCCTCGGGGCGGATGTGGCGGTGAGACGGTCCTTTCTCGGCGTTGTTATTGTTGACGTTCTTGACGGCGGAGGAGTGTTCGGGGCTCGGGCGGGGGTAGTAGGCCCCAGGCGTGCGGTGGATGGAGAAGAAGCAACGGTTGCCCTGTTGAAACGGGAACACGGGCGATGTATTAGCATACGGGAAAAAGTCCCCAAGTTTCAAGGCAGTTATTTTTCTCCCTAACCCTAAAGTTAATCTTGTTGTTAGACATTTTCCTAAATCGCAATAAGGAAAGCGATGCAGCATGAGGAAGTTGCCTTCCTGTTCCTTTTTAATCGCAAATTTGCTATACCATTTGCCCGTAAATCTCCGTTAAGTTTCATTATTCATTAACCAATAAGAACTTTGATAAAAGGAAACGTGACGCACGGACAAGCCGTTACACAAAGGGTCTGTATACACGAGCACGTCCTCGGTGTTCCAAACGCACACGGCTTCAATAATTGGCCCTATTCCCATCTGCCCGTTCAGAGAGGGATCTATCAGGCGACGTCGCCGGTGGCAGGGGCACCATCGACCGGCTTGCTTTCTCATTTCCGCCCGAGTCATCAGTTTTTCACACTACATCAAAAGCTGGACGGATTTTCAACCAAACATACGCTTATACCGTCGTCAGTTTATTTCGGAAGTAAAATTATTATTTCATAAACATGTTTATCATTACGTACGAATAGATAATAACTTCCGGAATTTTGAAAACTGGATTTACTAGAATATACCACTATATGGTCGTGGACAAATATACCTTGGTCATGTATTACAGAACATATCTATGTTTAGGGTCTTTAATTCCCACCGGCGCTTTTCTTTTGTAAGGGAATGGTTACTTTAAACCTGACGTAGATTTGTCGGAAGTGTCTGCTGATCGATATTTCGATATTAGCAACTTGGGTGCAACTAAACTTCTTGTCCGCCTGCGGTTGATGAAGTAGAAAGGATGCAATTTCGCCTTCCTGCCCAGAACCCCCCGTCTGGATCGATAAGTACCGCGGCCAATCTGCCAGAAATAGGCCCGCGATCACTTCCCCGGCCCCCATTGTAGTGGTGGCGTGGTTGTTGCCCGTAAATTAAACGTCAAGTCTGATGTTGGCGGCAATTTGGCAGTGAACCTGGCTATCTAATAAAATAAATACAGGGCCAGGCTGATGCTGAGAGGAGAAAATCGTTATCGACCGTTGGTGGAGATGGCTAGATGCTATCCTGTACTTCGGCTTTTCTGTGTAATCATTGCTAGTTGGTGGAGAACCTAATGATTCTGGCTTTGTATGTTCGACGTATTAGGATCTGATCGTACATTTTTATTACCAAACCACCAATTAGGGTTGTAGTACAATGTTGATATTTTGATGCCCGCTTATTTTAAAGGGAAACTTTTGAAACATTTCCACATATTTCTCCTCCCAATGTCTTTCTACTAATGTCTGCCTTTCTGAGAACCGGCATTTGTGTTTAAAGAGCATGTGCCATGTCCAGCCGAATATGTATCTATCACATGCATTTTTCTTGCAAAGACCAAACGCTATCGTGCACACCTGAAGCGGAGAAAAAACATCACACTCTGTATTGCGATCGATAGGAAGAAGATTCATGGGTGACATCCGCAGCTAGATTGACCAGCTAAATTGTCTGCTATGATTGGCATAATCCCATATTAATAGGGCACTTTGTCTTATAAGACGATAATTATGCATCTGATATAATATCATGATTTTGTCACTGTTGAGGATGACACATTGTTTGGAATATATTCTGTCAACGTAGCGAATTACTGGATTCCTTTCATTCTACATCATTCACCATCATTCTATAGACGGGAACACATTAAAAGAGGTCTATACGTTCGTAAACTGATACTGATCTTATGCTGTTGTGATGAGAGATTTCTCTGACTAGCTGAGCCTGTTTGGGGTACTTTACACCTTTGGTGATTCGTCATCATAATGCATGAACTGATTCCTTTACGTTTGAAACTACGAAGGAAGTGAACATTGATCAGTGTATAATGAGGGTTGGCTCATGCTTTCCACACATTGCCCTCAAAACGTCATCTATACTCAGTACCGTCATGAATTGCACAGATCCGGTGCTTGCACATGTGGTCATTTGTACAAGTATTGATGACATAAAGTTAATCCGGGTCCCACTAAGTAGTTTGGAACTATCTTTACGGAGCTCACAAACCGTTTTATGTACGACAAAGATGTAGCGAGTTATTATGCGTGCGTGTTTCATGGTAGATTCTCTGGTCGTTTTTCAGTCTATAGGCTACTCGTGACTATTCTCTGAGGCGTTAACGTTGTGAGAAATGTGCGACTGTAGCTGCGTTTGAATGCAAAAGCTATGAAACATCCGCCAGACTTTATTGAGCGGCCTGACATTGGCTACGGAATCGCCAAGATTGAAGAAGATGGATTCATGGTCAATATTCAACGTCCATGGCTGCTATACCTAATGACTTTATTGCAAAAGCTATATCAGAGTATCAGCTGGATAAAATGGAAAACTGCTTCTTTCGTGTTCTTTTTCACCATTCTATGAACTACATATAGAATCGAAGAGGTTCAAAGTTAGGGCAGCAGCGTATGTTTACTTCCAAACTGCATAAAAAGTACGTTCTTCTTAGTCTTGTTTTTTTGACAAACCATGTAAAGTACGGACTACACAACGATGCCAAATTACCAGTACCCCCTGGATGCATTCTGGATTTGATCTCTCTACTGCAATGTAATCAGTGGCTCCCTGTGTGCGTGGGGGTGTATCACATACAGCAATCAGGACTGATCAGAATGGAAAGAACTGACGCGTCTAACGGTGCTCCAACAGAATCTTAATTTGTGCACCACAAACTCAATTACCTTGGAAGAAATGCATTATGTTGACAGTAATGGGGCGGCGTTGGTCAATATGGTATTTCTGCCGGCAGAGTGGTTTAGATAGCGGGGGCTCACGGACGGCTCACCAGGGAAATCTACGTCTGCTGGTTTTGCTTTGTTATGATAACGTCCACTGACAAGGTTTTTATTGGTATGCTAAGTGTCGTGGCCGTTTTGTCTGTCTCATAACTTCGTCAGGCGAAGACATTTGCCATGGCGCCTTCCTGACAAGACGTTTAACTCCTGAGAACGTGTAGAAGTTGTTACAGCCGGTGTTCCAAAGGTTGTCTACTGTGTGACCTGTGGCATCGCGCCGCTTTCCTTCATTATACCGTTCCGTCCACTTGCGATGTAACTACGTGCCTATTTACGATAATGGACGACACCTCCCTGATGAGACGACGTTCCTTGCGTGTCTTGGGTCTCGCCGTGATTTTACGACAACACTCTGCATGACTTTACAACGAGGATTAGCGTGGTTTTACGACTGTAGTAAACGGGGTTCTACTTTGATGGGGAGGATTGAGATGTAAAGCCGTGGACTTTTATGCCGATGACGAAAGAGCGTGATGCTCATGTCTGCCAAGTTACGACAACAGCTAAATTCTCTGGCTCATGAAAGCGTGGAATTCAATTTGCCTCAGTCCTTTAGAGTAGTAACTCCAGGGCGGCAGTTTTACACCCTCTCATTCCCAGGAGAGACCTAACAAGACTGGAATCATCATGGCTGACAAACGGTATTCAAGCTACTAGTACTGGCTTGGTGATAGAACAAATAGACCGAAAGTAATGTTTAAAACTGTTTTTGCAAACAAGGAGCTAGAGGTTATATTTCATCTCCAGGCCCTGCCCAAAACAAACTCTCCAGACCCTCACTTAAAAAATCAAACCCTACCGCGACAGTTCTCCGGCCAGAGATCGACATTTCCGTAAAAAAGACTAGGAGCCAGCCAAAGTGTCGCTGACAAAGCAAAAACCGTGGTCGTAACTCAGTTGAAAGACCAGATGGAAGCTTTATGTGATTTGCACGTTAATCGGCGGTAAACATTCTTCGATTTAAGCCTCAGGTGACATATTATATGCTACATGGAAAATATATTAATACATAAAATCTCTTACATACGACAACTTCTTTGGACGATGTCCTTTCATTTTGGACATAAAGACATGTAAATTCGAGCCGGGTCAGATTCTACCTATCCGCATGACGACGAGAACTTCCCGCGCATTTCTTTTCAAAACACGTAGGGTCAACACAACGGCACATCACGTGACACTCCAGATAAATTGTCCACACAATGCCGATTCTTCTCACCTTTGGATAAGTTAATGCGAGTCAAGGTCGTGGAACCATTAAATAGCGGTAAGTACCGTTGTAATGCCTCTTCTGGCCTTTTCCTTGTTGATTGAATCTTGGGCCATTAATTGAAAATCGATTACACCCAGTCTAGATATAGAGGAGCGTTAATGCCTGAGCAAGATCTATTAGGCGTAAAATATTTTTGGCAGAGATTGACTTTTTTGGCGATAAAGCATGGTGGCATATAGATCTGGTGCACACTTGCCGAAATAAAATGTGCTGTGACTGTTAAAAGGAAACTTTCTTTATGCATTGCTGTCGTGATATTATTATTAAAACTTGAACAATAAAGTCGACTGAAAAACGACTGTTGGTATTAAGTTTCCTGTTGTATTTGCCGTTTATGGTATGATTTACCAGATATGAAATACGGAATAATAAGCTGAGGGAGTGAAGCAGTGCTCTCCCACGGAAGTTAGATTAACGAGGTTTTCCCTGTCGATCTGCAGCCGGGAGGGGATACCCCGGGACCGGAATGTTAAAACGTTTTAATGAGGATGATTATTTCTGGTCACGTTCACAGAATGGTTTACAGTTACCATGTTCGGCTTCCAAATCGGCTCCCCGCCTCATCCTCAATATTACTCGCTTACAATCTTCCCAGGAGGAGAGGTGGGGGCAAATTGAACCTTCCTTCCAGCAATTTGATTACGGGCTGATCTCGCCGAGGAACACCCCTTTAGTTTTTTGTGTGCGTTTCTTTTCTTTTACTGGGAAATTGTGCAAATTCCTCACGACATCAACTCAAAATCAGTTTTCATTCTGACGAGTTGATAAAGATTGGACATCCATATATCCAGTATTTGCTCACTCATAAATATCACTACCAGAGCTTACCAATAGACGTTTCCGATATTCTTCCAAACATC